ATCGGTGCAAAGCAATTCTAGATGCAGAGCAATTCGAGATGCGGGTTGGAGCCAAGCAATTGCAGATGCAGACTCTCTATTTAAGTATTTAGTGGTGCAAGACAAGTTAGCTATTTGTTTTGATTGAAAAACGGTACCGTTTTGGGATCGGTTCACCATGAGAATGGTAGGTCGATCCAACGGTATAATTTATGTCTCATCCCTAAGGGTACTCACCACTGATCAAATAGTTAACTAAGCAAATTGGATTTTGATTACTCCCTTCGTCCCGGAATTATCTTTATACTTTCCTTTTCGGTCCGTCCCAAATTTATCTTCTCTTTCCTTTTTTGGCAAAAAAACTGTGATTCAAAATCATTCCTACATATTCTTACATATTTTTCTTTCCTCTGTACAACTCTCCACTGGCCCACATATTTCCAACTATCTTAAAACATGTGCCCAGTCAAATAAGGAGGTAATTCCGGGACGGAGGTAGTTTAATTTACAAACTGATAGATAGTAACTGATGATCTGACTTAAGTACGAGTGGCGACAGACTTAGCTTAATAGCAATTGGGGCATGTTAAACTCTCAACAACTACTTCAAAAAATCTTACTTAACGACGGATTACTAATGTGCCCCCAACAAAAAACGGATGCCCCATCCATAAATTTGTTCTAACATTTTATTTACTTTAATTTGAGTGCACAACACATCCTAAGTCACTTTTTTAAACTTCTATTTTTATCCTTAATTCTAAGCAATATAAGTACCTTATAGTAATACCACTATTTGATAAGCAATAATTTACTTATACTGCTTCCGTTCTTTTTTAGTTGCAACACTTTCCTTTTCGGGTTGTTTCAAAATAATTGCAACATTACTTCTTTTAGTAATAAGAAATACCCACAATGACTATACTACCCTTAAATCCAACAAAGTACGGAGTAATACGGAGTACTCCATCTGCGCCACACGTAGTTCTTCTGCCTAATCTTTTTGCCCATCCGTCGATTCCTTCTTCCTCATTCCCATTTTTTCAACCCTTTCCTCCATTTTTCAATCCAAAAATTCATCCCATTTAGGCATTTATAGAAAATCCAACAAAAACAATTTTGAAGGAAAGCCTAGGCCACAATTACCATCTCTTCCTAGTTCCTAATCATTCCCTTCGGCTGTAAGAGCTCAACCTTGGAGGTCCGCCATTAATGGACGCCCGAAAAATTTTCTCACAACCCAAGCAGTAACACCAACCTTAATTCCCTCCAGCAACGAAGGTAGCGGCAGAACAAAGTGGGTCCTCCGCTTTCTTCGGTGACACCCGCTGCCCGACTGCGCCGACGACTGAGAGCATCTCCGACTAGCGGGAGGCTTCATCGGTTACACATTAGCCTTCTCGCCCTATGTGTTTCCTAGATCTTCAAGGAGTTTGAAGCTCACTGTTGTGCTGGAGATTCCTTTCCTCCAATTTCTTCTTTCTTTTTGGGAGACTCCAATGATGGATTTAAACAAATTACAGAGAAAGTAAAAAAAAGATGTAGGTGCAATACTGTTTGTATGAAGGAGACACGCGCATAAGAAGGGTAGAATAGGGAAAAATTACTTTATTGGCTCTTTCTTAATTTGTGTGCCGTAGGGCAATGTTGCATCTAATTTGGAACGGAGAATAGTATTAAGATTTTGAAATCCAAAAGTGATCATAAACTAAATAAAAACTTAGACTGGCTATTTTAAATACACAAGAATACCATGTCATTTAAGGTTCTCCATCTATTTCTCTAAAAAAATAATGTATCATAAACTATATTTGATACTAGTAATATTTATGTGATTCAAAGTGATTTACTATTTTTAATAAAACTACATTGGATGGGCATGTTTGACATTTAGTGGTTTGCGGATAGCGAATTATGTTAGCAGGTTGTCAATTGCGGATTTAATCAGTCGATTTGACTAGCGGAATAAGTTGATATGTTGCTGAAAAATGTTTGGTAAGTTAGCTATTTTGCTATAACAATTAGTAGTAAACGTCATATTTTAAAACGCCAACCCAAAATTCTCTTATTTGCAGTGTTTCTGTTTCAGCGGTTTCGTCCAAAACGCTATGTCCGAACAACTATTTATCAAACAACATTTTTACTTATTAAAACGCTAAATAAAAGGGATCAACTCGTCACTGTTTTTTTGGCTAAAACGTCATTTTCCTAACACCTCCATTATTTCTCTTTCTTTAGGGTGTGCCTCATAGAATAAATATCTAAAGATACTAGAACAAAAATAGTGTTGGGTGTGTTTCGAAAAACAAAGAAAAATAATTAATACAGATTTATTAAATAAAATGACTTAAAGAAAAACAAGAAATGAGATGAAGCAGAATAAGCCAAAGCTCGTGCTACGCACGATTTCCTTAAAACGTATTCGTTGCCTCCCGGGGTGCTAGGAGCGTTGCAACGATTGTTTCCCAGGATACGATGACTTCGAACAATAGTTTAGCACTCAAACTAAAGTTCCAACAAACGTGAACAAAAGCAGAACACCGAAGAGGTTTGTATGGAGTGCTAGAGGTGCTGTTTTAGCAATGAAAATGCGTGAACGAAGTGTATGAAAGGTTCTGTCTTTGCAAAGCACCTACTAGCCTTTTATAGGGGTGGATTAAGGTGTGTTAATGGCTATTTAAGGGTTATGATCGTTGGACATCAATGTCCTAAACGTTGGGCATTGATTCCAGTCCTTAAACAACCAAAACGTTCATATGAACGTTGGGACATCAATGGCAGCATATAGACGTTGGGCATTTATGTGCATGGAGCAAAAATTAAAGTAGGAACGTACCGGAAGAACAAAAATTAACGTTATCTTTAGAAGATAGATTTTCGAACGTCATTCGTGTGTGCAGGTCGCCCGCACACGCAAGTCGCTGTTTTTGTTCTTCGGTTTCGGGATTTGATTCGCGCCCCCTTGCGCGCGTGAGAGAGCTTTTCCCTTTAGGAATCTTAACTCCTTAGGGGGGGGGGGGGGGGGTTCCCTTTATAAAGGGTTCAAATTCCCTTGTGATTTTCGGTGTGGGAAAGAACCCACACTAAAACCCACATTTTCCTAGTTTTCTCCATTCCAACGGGTAAACTTCGAAAAACAATTTCTCATTCACCCGTTATCCGTATTGAGTGTACCATATATCGAATTGTAGCCCTTAGCAAGGACAATCCGAAACCACTTTGACCCGACCCAAATCGGAAGTGGACCCCACTCAAATAATTGCCCCAAAATGACCATTTAATACACTTTTAACACACTTTTTCCAACAAATAGTATCGTTATAAAATTAGTAATGTAATTTGATTGCATTGGAGATGCATAAACCCACAAAATAATTCAAATTTGTATTCGCTCTGGTCGACAGAGGTATTCCGGGTCGGATTTACCCAATTCGGGTGTCCCTAACAATAATAATTTCTAGATCCACCACTGTCAAGTACTTAGCATGTCATATACATTTTTACATGATAACTTTTATCGCAGTTATTGGAATCCGAAACCGATACTTGCCCCGTGTGATACTTCTATCCGTAAGTTGAGCTACACATGCCGACCACTATCTAGTATCTACAAGCATTTTGTTTTGGATCTCAAGTTTCAACTGATAGGCTCAAAAGATAGGTACGAGAATTACCACATTGAAATTAAAATATGGAACTAAAAGCAACAGAAACCCTAATTTACGGGACTGATTTTGCAAATTTCCATGCGGGTGTTGGCGGACGCGTTTGTTAAATAATGTTGGGCGGTCTAAGGTATGGAGTACCATCCCTTACTGAAGTCAATGGTCTTTACGTGTCAAACCATCTGGCCGGGTTTGTTGACTCCCAGCTTACATCGACATTTCCATGTTTTCCCAATTAACAGACGTTTCAATTGATTGTTCTTTTTTCTGTCAAATCCGTTGACTTCGCGACCCATCACCCCGTGTAGGTTTTTTCAACAAAATAGAAAATTGGTACTCAGGCACCGTACTAATTAAGTAATTCATAAAAAGGATAATATCAACAGGTTAAAATTAAGCTTAAGGGTTTGAAGTGCTCAGTTTAGTGAAATTATTAATTAAAAACTTTAATATTTTTGGATTACAAAAATGTTACCTTTGGAGTATATACTGTTCATTATTAAATTTAAATAAATTAAAGATTCAAGGAAATGAGAAAAGGATTATCTGATCGTAAACAAACCCAGCATTTTTTCCGGCTAAAAGTGGAGTCGACATATTTCAACCTCTGCGGATTCGTTTGGCTATATCGAAATTTAATAAAGTTTTTTAAAATTAATACTATGTATAAATATTATCCGTAACGACTCATACTTTTCTTGTTTTTTTCAAAAATATTACCCCATCAAAATAAAACTTATTTACAAAAATATAACTAATACTGACAATAATGCAGTGTCAATAACATAAGTGTCATGGTAACTTACTATAATTCCATTATTATTAGTCCAATCACTGATAACATTTTTGTAATCAATGTTTATTTTAGGCATTAATATATACTCCCTCCGTCTCGAAATAATCGTCCTGTTTTGATCTTCACACAGATTAAGAAAACAAAGTTTACTTTACACTGTAGCAACACTGTTTGGCACTATAGCAACACTGTTTGGGACTGTAGCGACACTGTTTGGCACTGTTTGACACTGTTTAACACTGTTTTGTATAGATTTGTTTACCAAATAAGGAAAGGAGACAATTATTTCGGGACGGACCGAAAAAGAAAGCAGGACAATTATTTCGGGACGGAGGGGGTAATTATTTCTAGTTTTTTTACAATAAGAACGATTGCACGTAGTAGTTAACAATGACTTAATTTTGTCATTAGTCAATTATCGTAAAACGCAAAATCAAATTCTTGGAGGGACAAAATGTATTGTTCTTTTGGTCTGCAAAAACCTAGCTAGACCATGCATGTCTTTCTATGTAGAAGTCAAACATGGCAAACCCTAGTGAAACATATCATGTAATTGTGTACTCAACCATGTATCCCGACAAAGCTACAGCATATCACTAAATAATTACGTAGTATCATTTTCACAAAGTTTAATTTAACGGGTCAGGAGGGGACCGGGTACATACATACGGTAGAACAATTACATAGACTGATGCATTTTCTTTTGTGTATTCATTTTTGCCCAATCCCTCCCCCCTGAAATGACTGAAAAATGAAAGAAAAAGTATATGATCTGTCCTATACCGAGAAAGAAGAAACAATTAATTGATTAATTAATTAGTTCTGGGTAAAACTGCTAGTCTTGTTGCTGCTACTCCCAGTAGGGTTATTATTGCTAGCATTGTTTGGTTGAGAGCCATTCATTATCGAGGTGATGGCGGCTGCTAGGGCTGCCGTGAAGTTTGGATCGGCGGTGATGGCAGCTGTGGCGGCGCTGAGAGTGTCAGCGTACATAGGTGGTTGCATGCGGGGTTGCTGCTGATGAGAAACATGCAGACCTGAGAACTTAGACTGGTTGTACAAGCCTTGCCCAAAAACTGGTGGGAGTTGAGCGTAATTCTGGGGAGTGTGAGGGACTCCGGAGAAAGGGGCTGGGAATTGGCAAGGTGGGGGCCTAGGGTAATGAGGCAAAGAGTTGGGGTTTTGAGTGAGATCAAGTGTCACAGTTGGGAATGGCGCAGATGCTGAAATGGTTGCCATGCTAGATGAGCAAGGCAGGATAGCCCTCGCTAGGAAATTAGGGTTCATCATTCCGTCCGCGCTCGGCATGGATCCCGATAGCAGCATACTCGCGGCGGCTGAGGTGGTTGACGCCATCGCCATGGCTGCCGGTGGCAGCGGGTGGTTGTGTGTCCCTTCGTAAGTCGTGATTAAAATCGTCCTGTCATCCGCGCACCTTTGAACCTTTAACAAAAAAATAATATTTCATATTTAGCTAATGCGGGATAAGAACGGATCATAATCACGAACATACTAATCAAATTGCGAGAACATACCTGTTTTCGAACGGGACACCCCACAGCCATGGTGCATCTATAGTAAGCCCGTGGACACGGGTTTCCTTTAGCCATTTTTTGTCCATATTTTCTCCATTGACATCCATCACTAATCTGCGATATATATAAAAAAATTCCATTAAAATTTGTTAATACGAGTATTAGTTTAAGAAATGAATAATAAACTATAAGTAGTATATACGGAGTATATGATTACACTACAAATAATTGATAAATATATGAATTTTGAAATGCATTTACTATAATCATGCTTCCATGATTTTATTACTATATATGGAGTAGTAATAAACTCAATGTCATCACAGTTTCAAATGAGTAAATGTATGATATCCATATTAATTACCATGGGCGCTTCGGATCGGGCACGAACGGAGACACGGGCTTTCCTCATGGTAGCTTCGGCAGCTTGTTCAACAGGCCTTGAATGATTCAGTTTAGGAATTTTATTATTGGGTGCCCAGCTTTCTGAATCCGGACTTTCTTCCCTAGCCACAATCCCTTTACTATTACTATGATGTTGCTTGGAAGAAAGCTCCATCTGCTTGTCCCTGGTGGAACCAGCAGAAAGTGTTCTCTCTTCGGACGACGTATGAGAATGAGAGAGCAGCTCATCGGTCTGGTCAGCGACAGCCACACCGTCACTAGGACCCAACTGCAAGAATTGTCTCGGGACCATGCCCGTTTCTTCGTTCTCGGGCTTCTTCTCCTCTGACTTCCTATCTTGGGTAGAGGCTCCCTCCGCCCTCGGCTGGCTTAGCTGTTGCTGCATTAGATTGGCAAGATGCATTTGCAAGGCCGCGTAATTGTTTGAAACTTGGGATAACATCCCTCTCAATCTCTGGTTCTCAGCATTCATTCTCTCTAACTCAACTTTTAACATTGATGCCTGATCAAATATGGAAATGTTAAAGTGTTAATTAAACCATTACCAAAGTGATCGAACTTGTATTTTTATATTTGGCGGATCTGAAATCACCCCAGAAAAGGTATCAGCTTAGCTTCTTTTACAGATCAGACTCAACTCATTAAAAAACTATTACTCCAACTCCGTATGTTCCAATCTACTTTTTACATACACTTTATATTCAATGATCACCTTAACTGTTAAAAATGATCATCATCTTTCAATCTCTCATTTTATGTACTATCAAAGAAAAATAAACTAAATTTATTACTCCTATCTTATACCAAACGAGAGACATGCAAATGAGACTAATGAATACTCCTAAAAAAATACTGAAAATGAGTCAAACTTGGCCCATAAATCTACTAATTTAAGAGTTCAATCATTCAATATCGGACAAGTTAAAATGACTTACATCAATTCTTGCCCCTCTATCTTCAATATCGGACAGAGTACTCTCGTTCACAGTCGATTGGTCAGTCCCGTTGTTAGCGATCAATAATTGCAATCCGGTCTGAATATATAAAACCCGATTTGATTACTAATAATCAGTATAAAATCCTGAGTATAACAGAAAGGCGAGGAATTTGTTATGGATCCTTACGTTTACATCCATGTGATGATCGGACCTTGTGATCGGGTCAGCGAGCGATGAGTTGACCTCCTTCTTCACGACGATACCAGCGGGCTGCTGTTTCGACTCGGAGAAGAAGTCAACTTCGTTCAGCGGAGCTCGTTTCTCGAGAGCGTGATCGGAGCTCGCCGGAATCATGCTGAATGCGCTTCCGCCGCTTCCGGAGTTGATCGGGTTCAGCCTGGGACTCAAACTGAATCCGTAAACCGGCTTGCTGTTGAAGAAACCAGCGCGTTGATGATCCGGATTTTCCAGAGTCAATCCCCAGCCCTTTTCCATCAAATGGAAAACAGAATTTTCAGGAAATTAGGAAATTGTACTGGTTTTTGAGAAGGCGAAGAAGGAGAGAAGCGTTTGAGAGACGATAGCAGGAGAAGTATAAAAAGGCAGGGGGGCGGAGAGATAAAGGATTGACGTCAGAGTAGTAGGCGACAGATGGCGGTGGGGCCGGGTGGGTGGGGAAACAGAGTCAAGACTGGGTTTGACTCGTTCCCACGGAAGAAGTCCACCGGCCCGGGCGGTGCGGCGCGTCCCACGTGATGAAAATTGGGAGCATGCATGTGAGGGGTAAGGTCAACGTATTTGACGAGGAAGGTGGGTACGGGCCAGAGAAAGCTTTTTTTCCGATGACTACTTTATACCGACTCATACTCCGTAATTAATTCTCATACGACTGCATTTTGCTGAAAAAACCCATCCATCAGTCTCCCCACCTAGACCAAACATTGATTATTTTTGGGGAAATATCAGTGGACTTTTGAGATTGGACCTAATATCCGTTACTTAATCTCAAATTTACTCTGCCATTTATCGTTTCTGCCCCACATGAGATTAAGTCAAATCAAACATGTAAGGATTAAATACTATCATCATCATTTTCATTTATTCTAGTGCCACAAAGACTCCCACCTACTAAGGATTAAATCCTGTACATCAGACTAATTTTAATTTTGAATCAAGCGTTGAAAACTACTCCGAACTAAACTTTTACCGGATCAAACTTATATTACTCCCTATGTCCCTTACAACTTCCATCTTTCCTTTTTTGGATGTTCCAAAAAACTTTGTCATTTTTCCTTTTAATCAATTTTTTTTTGTGGTTTTTGTTATTTCTCTCTCCTCTGCACAAACTTCAACCACACAGTTTTTACTTTATTATTCTCCGTGTCGGTCAACTTTGACAAAGTTTTAAGGGACGGAGGTAGTAGATCAAATTAAAACAAATCAGATATTTTCAAATCAAACTTTAATAAAGAGATATTACCTGAGATATTACTAAAAAGGTCTGAAAAATCCAAAATAGGAATACCATATTTTTATTCCTAAAATAGGACTAATTATTGTCATGTTTTGACAGTACTAGACTTCAAACATGACAGTATTTTTTAAACTTTGCAGTAATTACTCATATTTTGAAAATTAAAAACATGATAGTCCTATTTTAAAATTTTTAAATTGTTTTAGTCCTATTTAGGAATTTTCCCATTAATAAATCAGATCAAACTAGATGATGCCAAATCAAAAAAAAACTACGGTTCAATCAAAAGCATCTTAAGATGCACTTATAAGGTAGGGTCTAAGCTAGCATGGGCATGCGGGGAACCCGAAACAACATACATAGTAGAAAGGTCCGAAAATGTTATCAACACAAAAGTTGATCATCAATGTTTGTTTATAAACTCATGTTGTGATTGAAATAAATATTTACGTTTGTTTATATGAATGTACATAGTACAAATGTTTTACAAATGTGTACAAATAACCTTTTCCATATTTATAATAGTGAAATAGTTAGTGGTTCTTGAGTGGGTATATAAATGGGCCCCTAAGTTGGATGCCAAAGGAGATTTTTATTTGCACTCTAATTTTCTATTTTGATTTGATTTGATATGGTCTATTCTAGCTTGTTTAATCTGATATGATCATTTTGCTCTAAACTGATCTGTTATGGTCTGATAAATGTATGATTTATGTGTATTTTGTAATTGTGAAAGTCATGTCTAATATGCTCTAATTTGTTTAAGTTTGACCCGATCGAACTAACTTATTTAAATCTGATATGATTCCCATCCGTCATTAGCTCAAGGGACATGGTTTGGGTGTCATGATATATTGATATTTAGGAGGTGTTTGGAATTAATTTTGCCTATACTTCATTTTTAAAAGCAGAAGTACAATCAGAATAAGTTTTCGCTAGTCTCCCCCAGTTTTTAAAAAACTGGCCTCTAGGAGCTTTTTTATCCCTCAGAAGTACCTCTGCACTCTAATGTCTGCTTGTGCTCCTTGAAGGAATAGAAGCAGTGTTAAAAAGTAGATCCAAACACCCGCTAGAAGTATTAAAAAATGTCTTGAATCCTTAAAAAGAAGATGTCTATCTTGAATCACGAAATTTTTAATCAAATCACTAGGTCATTGAGTGAGGATATTCCACCAAACACTTTTTTTTGGAAGAAGGTGGCTTAAGTTGATATCACAACATTCAGAAAGGGGACAAACAGATAAAATGACCACTCACAACTTTCATTCTTCGAACCAGACTTAGAGACAATCACCTTCCAAAAAGTAATATGACTCGTTGATCATGTATGAGCCTAACTGAACCAATGAGGACAAAACATGCCTCTCATCAATCAATCCTAATGCAAGATTCTGGCAGAACAAAAAATAAAATGAACAACAAAAATAGTCTGATCAAAGTAAAAGACAATAATAAAAGTAACATTATTAAACTTCAGGAGCATCTCCAGCACCACGAGTAGCTCCCCTTGTTTTTTCTTGCCAAAAAACTTCTTTAGAACTCCCGGCGGGTCTGATGTACATGACCTGTCTCCTCCCCATTTTTTACTTATCTAGAGCCATGCCAGCACCACTCGGATCCTCATGCTCATGTTCCTCCCATAGCCTCGTGCGCTTCTGATCTCCAGGAACCTCCTCTGTACTAGCTGCTTCAACATCACCTGAGATATTCATACCTGGATCAACCACAATAATGACCAAATTCTGTCATCCTGCCTTCGTTCGTCCAGCCACTCCACCCTCTCTGCCTTGCTTATTTTCTTGCTACTTCAAACCCATAGCCGCTGATGAAGATCCCTCTTAAATCAATCACTTGTTACCCCATGAAGTGTGTGACCCCCCCCTGCTCGGGGCCCCATCCCATAGGGTTTCTGCAACACTTTATTCTCACACAAATATGTCAAAGGGCAAAACCTATCAGCATGGCCAATAACACCACATGCAAAGCAAAAACTAGGCAGTTTTTTATATTTAAAGTCCATTTAGTGTCCAACTCCCTTCCCTTTCCTAAAAGTTGTGCCCACCTTTAGAGGTTTTCCTACCTCATATAGACTCTGATTCTCATATAGATCCTTTAATTTAACTCTCATCAAAATAGATAAATTTACCAATAAAATTATCAATCCTCTTAACCACTCCTACAGTCATGTAACTATATGATACATTATGCACCTGGACCCAAAATTGAACTTCATTTAGAGGGACCTTAATTAAGGGGTATATCCCTCGACATAACTGCCCTAAGGATCAACATGTTCTGTTCAAACAAGCACGGGCCACTTTCCAACACACGTCGCATATCAACTACGTGATAAAAAGAGAATATATACCCTTTATCACCGATCTCTTTGATTGATACTCCTTTTCCTGGAAGCCTTAATGAAGTGATAAGGTCCCTAAACACCTGGAATTTCATCAATATAATTTATTTATTGGATAAAAATACGATTATAGGGTTAAAGTTGTTGCTCCAAGTCGCCGAACTGACTGCCACCGATAGTCAGAATTTTTTCCCAGATCATCGCCGCCAATATGCAAGAATCTCATAGTCAGGAGTTCACCGCCGCCACCACCAATTCAAAATTGATTCACCACCAACGGGATGATCTTGATTATATGGAACAAGGATATACTTAATTATACTCCGTATTAATTCACATAATTAGGGGTAGAAATGTAATATTTAATTCAAATTAAGAAAATCAAATATATGATCTTATTTTTTTAAAATGCTATGGAGTATATTTTAATGATATCATGAACAATTTCTCGTATTTTTTTCTCCCATATTATCCAGTACTCAAGGAATATCAACAAAAAGTCGTCAATTTCCAATAGGGTAAAACGAATTCTACCTACATAAATACACTACTTCCTAACCTGATGACCTTGCTCTATTTTATGTTTAATTTTGTTTAGATTATAACAAATTGTATATGAGTTGAATTAATCTGGTTTTGAAATTTATCCATTGACCAGATGATGGCTTTTAATTTGCACATTTTTTTAATCTTAAACTGAATTCAATTACTCTCGATCGGTTCATTGACTCGTCAAAATGTTATTATTTTAGTTCGAATATTTAAATAGTATCATGTTGTTATCATCGTTGATTGAATTTTGTCATTAACCCCATCTTGTACGTGTAGCTTTCTTTAATATCTTTTGTGAGTCACCGCTGAAATTAAAGTTGTCAATGTAATTCAACTTGGCGATGGAAACTGGAAAGTATGGTGTGGATAAGAGAAAAATTGATGGATTCTTTTAAGTCGCAGTCGGACGTTGTACATCAATAATACTATGGAAGGGCGCGCAGCCTCCCTATTGGACTGTGTTTCTTTAGCAAGACCTCAAACAACGGGGTTTCTGCTAGGGTGGGCATGATTGGTTAACCGCACTTTGGTTAACCAATTTTCGGTTAACCGTGATGTTGGTTAATATATTGTTAATGTCATTATCCGTACCGTAATATTGGTTAATCGAACCAAAATATCGGTTAACCATTAATTAGTTAACCAAAAACCATGAAAAGGAAAAGAATAAAGTCATCAAACTACTCCGTATTAAACATTTGATTTGTTAAAAAATACATAAGTAGTTCAAGATTAAATTAGAAATTTTATATAGCAGAAACTTTTCCAAAAAAAACTCCCCGGCTCCGAAACTTTAGTTAGCCCGTATACGCCGTATTATCTTTCCATGTGTACTACTACTTTTCCATATTATATGTTCCTATATCTATGTATTTATACGGTTATTAGGTTAATTATACTATTTATATACGTATAGCACTAAAGAAAATGTATACATTTCAGTAGCTTATGTACGGAGTAATTGATTGTAAAGTGTGTATATTATTCCACTATGCATGCCTGAATGTGAATATACATACACCAAAATTCCAAAAATGATACAAAGTGTTCACTTTCCCGTCCCCATACCTTTGTCGAAATTTATTGTTCGTGTGTAGTGTTTGCGTATGATCCTACGGTTACTGGTTAACCGGTGAGATAATTTGCAAAACCGTAACCGTACCGCTTATCATTTTTCCCTCCCGGTTGGTTAACCGTAC